CTGCATGCCTGTACCAGACACCAGAAGTTGAAAAGAAAGAGCACCCAGCACCCCTCAATGTTTTTATTCAGCACACTCGTGTGTGGCTGCAGGGTCAGTGACGTTAGACTCGTGTTCCTAATGATGGTGGTGGGAAACCGATCTGGCCTTCATACCTGAGCGTCTGTTGATACTCACAACATGCTCATATCTAAAACTACCACACAGTCTGGATTCAATCACCCTTTAAAGAATAGATCGGTGAGTGAAACAGCAGGGTAACTGCAACAGCCAACCAACCAACACTTTGTCATTTTCTCACAGTGATGAGGGCGAGACAGGTAATATAGGTCTGACAAATGTTACGCTCTGTGTGTCAGCCAGACCCAGCTCTACTCCAGCAATATGAGTACAGCGCTATTCTTATTATCATTGGCCTTTGGTGTTGTGTGCCAACACATTAATGGAATCAGTTCTACTGACTTTATATTGATCATGTTTCATATTTCAATTGGAGTAAAATGTATTCTGATCATTTATCTTTAAACAGGCTTGACTGTCGGTTTTATTTGACCGCTTTACTTCAAGTTTTAATCTCTCCATTTGCTTTCCCGAGCACTGAATGGACACATAAATACCCATCTGCAGTAAGGATGACATGCGGAACAAAGAAACAAGAAAATAAAGGAAGCTTCAGGGCAAACGCAGGTACCTGGCCTGACTACAATGAAAACAAACATCTGAAATGAAGGGTGAACATTACTATTGTAAAATCTCAGCATTAAATGTTGTTTGTTAGCTACAAAATACTTTCACAATCAATTAATGATGCAGAAGCTTGTTCCTGACAGTTGTATCAGTTTTTACCTTGTAACTCAAAGGCGGATGAGATTCAGTCCTTCCTGCAAACGACTTGCTACACTTTTCACTATATTTAGCAAATCACCACTTTTCTCTGTGAAAGCCATCAGGAAATGTTCCAGCTATAGACCGCTTCATTTGGAAAACTGTAAATAACAACTAAATGTTCATTACTCACTGTGTTACAGGGTGATATTTCATGCAAAGCATGAATAATTAGCATTAATTTCAAAGGACGAAAAAGTGCCCCGTCATTGCAATCAATTAAAAATGAAAAAGCTCAAATAAATTGCATAGCACTCCGTACAGATGTCAAAGTTCAGCATTAATATCTGTTCACTCGTCTGTGACAGCAATTTTTTTCTCCCACCTGATTTCTTTAAATTCAGTTGAAATGAATTGCTTTCATTTCTACCCCAGATTAGCGGCGTCTCTGCCTAGACAAGCAAAAAGTTTAAGTTTACAAAGATAAAGTGCCAGAAAAAGTTCATGCCCAGCCCTGTCAGATGAGACCTTTTAGAAAAATGAGAATTACTCAATATTTAAAACTACATGTCATAAGAAACTGCAGAGACTTGTAGCACCATTGATGTTAAATGATGTAGAAAATAACAAAAACCCAAAGATTTCTACAAAACTCATGTCTGTTTTTTTAGATGACTCAACAGCCGACCCTATTTCCAAACTCAGTAGTGCAGGAACATATTTGCTTATCGTTTCAGGAGCCAACTCACATGTCCATGGGTTTGAGAATAATTTTTATCTGGTAAATGTTGCCGTGTTGGTATATTTCCACAGAAGCAATATCATGATTAACATATTCTGTGAATCACTGGTAAATTTCTAGATTAGGCAATATCACTGGCAGAGTGTTGCCTAAGAAGAATCTGCAGACAAATGAGGTTCAAGTCAAGAACCCCCCCCCCAGTAGTTCAGCTGCTTGCTAAGATCATTTCTGATTTGCTGTTAGGACCTTTTAAACCCAGCCTGTTTTACCCGTTTGCATCTCTCAGACATCAAAAAGCTTTCATCGCGCCTCCTTTTTGTCGTTCTCTTTGTGGACTTCCATTCTTAGATTTTATTAGCTTTCCAAAATGCATTTTTTTGAAACACTTGAGGCATTTTTCCTCATATTTCTAATACAAAACAGCAAAGACAAAGAGAAAAGCAGGTTTTTGAGAAATGTGCTACATCCCTGGGGGGAATTAACTGGTTGTAAATGAAGAAAGGAGATGTTTCTAGCTCATATCCTATGTGAAGAAATTACTATTAAAAGCTAAAGTACCATGTAAAAAAACCAAAATGTCGAGTTTATTGTTTAGAAGAATAAATTTGATTGTGGGCTGTCTGCAACATTAATCAGCACACCAGAAAACAAATAAAAATCGCCCTCAGCTGTTATTCTTTCATCTCTCTTTCTGATGCTGATCACACATCAAGGTTCGGACCAAAATAGTACAAACTGAAACTAATATTTTATTGGAGGATTATAACTAAAGAGTTGGAATTTGATATTTAAAACGCCATAGCCACCAAGCAAATGTGTTCCTTCATTTTCTCCTCTTCCTCTCCCTTCCCCCCTTTAATTTCACCTCCTCTTCTCTCTCCTCTGGTTCATCCCTTCCCCCAGACAAATCAATTTGCCTCCTTTCTCTCTATTCTCCTCGCCATGCCCGGACACGCCCTCTCTTTTGTCTCACGACGCTATCTTCATTTTCAGCGACCTCTCATCATTTTGAGCATCCCGGTGGCCTCCATCACTCTACTCCCATCTCGCCATCTCGCCATCTTCAGGGAGTGCAGTCTATCGATTCACCCAATCCTTCTGATTACAACGCAGTTTCATTCACAAGCAGGCCCGTGTGTGTGCTTGAGCAAGATGTGATGGAGTCTATATTGCTGGTAGACTGCAGCAGCAAAGATATCATAGGGTGGGGAGTGGGGCGATTAAAGCCCCCACCCTCCCCCTCCAGTATGGGTGTAAGGTGACATTTGATATAGAAGATGGATGAAGGGCTCTGTGTGTCTGTGTGTGTTTGGGGTGGGGTGGTTGCTGCTAAATGATTTGCACATTCAGCAAACAAGCTGCACCTTGTCCTTGTAGACTGAAAGCACTGAGATTTGGTGTCCATCTGCATCGTTAAATCGTAACAAGAACGTGTGCGAGGTTAAACCAATACAATGTTTATCCTTATTATAAAATCAGATTTTGCTTCTGTCCAGTATGCATACTCCAGAGCCCTAAAATGATAAAGTACCAAAAACACCACTTCCTCTAATGATCCTTAGGGTAACTCTAAAGAACTGAGTCAATCCCCAGATCCCAGTATTACAATTCCCAACTTTGAACCATTAAAAGCACATTTATGGTCTGGTTCAAAAAAAATGTTGAAGCCTGCTGATAACAGCGGCATAGTGGGAAGCTATTTTCAGAATTCACTCCACTAAGGTGTAAAATTAGTCACTAAAGTGGACTGCTCCACTCTGTTTGTACTGTTGGTGCCTCTTGAAGCGTTTTTAATTCAATTATCTGACAATACAGCTTGTTGACTCTTAAAGACCACCAAAGAAGTTTGTGCTTCAGTTTCGTTGAGTGAGATTCTGGTGTTTTGTTAGTCTCTCATTTTACAGTTTACACTTTAGTCTCTATGAAGAAAAAACAAGCTGAAATGTTCTTTGTTACTTTCTGAATAATTCCTTCGACATCAACTTACAGAGGAACACACTGTTGACAGGCAAGGCTCCTGTCAATGACTCA